CTCCAATGAATCCTCCAATGAATCCTCCTCGTTTGGCGGGAATGTTGATATTAAATCATAAGAAATACAGTTTTGACAACATGGTGAGGTCACTATGCCACCATGTGTCACTCGGTTATTTAACTTTTCTGAAAAATGAGACAATGTGACATTTTGACAACATAGTGGATTAATGTAAAAATAAATTCAAATCAAACACAAACTTTATCGGAACACTTTATTGTCAAACATAAACACAAACTTTATCGGAACACTTTATTGTCAAACATATCATAACATGTCAAAACTTTATCGGAACACTTTATTGTCAAACATATCATAACATGTCAAAACTTCATCGGAACACTTTATTGTCAAACATAAACACAAACTTTATCGGAACACTTTATTGTCAAACATATCATAACATGTCAAAACTTCATCGTAAATGACTTATCATAACATATCATAACATGTCAAAACTTCATCGTAAATGACTTATCATAACATATCAAAACATATCATAACATGTCAAAACTTCATCGGAACACTTTATTGTCAAACATAAACACAAACTTTATCGGAACACTTTATTGTCAAACATATCATAACATGTCAAAACTTCATCGTAAATCACTTATCATAACATATCAAAACATATCAAAACATGTCAAAACTTCATCGTAAATGACTTATCATAACATATCAAAACATATCGTAACATGTCAAAACTTCATCGTAAATGACTTATCATAACATATCATAACATGTCAAAACTTCATCGTAAATGACTTATCATAACATATCAAAACATATCATAACATGTCAAAACTTCATCGGAACACTTTATTGTCAAACATAAACACAAACTTTATCGGAACACTTTATTGTCAAACATATCATAACATGTCAAAACTTCATCGTAAATGACTTATCATAACATATCATAACATATCATAACATGTCAAAACTTCATCGTAAATGACTTATCATAACATATCAAAACATATCATAACATGTCAAAACTTCATCGGAACACTTTATTGTCAAACATAAACACAAACTTTATCGGAAACACTTTATTGTCAAACATACATAACATGTCAAAACTTCATCGGAACACTTTATTGTCAAACATAAACACAAACTTTATCGGAACACTTTATTGTCAAACATATCATAACATGTCAAAACTTCATCGTAAATCACTTATCATAACATATCAAAACATATCAAAACATGTCAAAACTTCATCGTAAATGACTTATCATAACATATCAAAACATGTCAAAACTTCATCGTAAATGACTTATCATAACATATCATAACATGTCAAAACTTCATCGTAAATGACTTATCATAACATATCAAAACATATCATAACATGTCAAAACTTCATCGGAACACTTTATTGTCAAACATAAACACAAACTTTATCGGAACACTTTATTGTCAAACATATCATAACATGTCAAAACTTCATCGGAACACTTTATTGTCAAACATAAACACAACTTTATCGGAACACTTTATTGTCAAACATATCATAACATGTCAAAACTTCATCGTAAATGACTTATCATAACATATCATAACATATCATAACATGTCAAAACTTCATCGGAACACTTTATTGTCAAACATAAACACAAACTTTATCGGAACACTTTATTGTCAAACATATCATAACATGTCAAAACTTCATCGTAAATGACTTATCATAACATATCATAACATGTCAAAACTTCATCGTAAATGACTTATCATAACATATCATAACATATCAAAACTTCATCGTAAATGACTTATCATAACATATCATAACATGTCAAAACTTCATCGTAAATGACTTATCATAACATATCAAAACATGTCAAAACTTCATCGTAAATGACTTATCATAACATATCATAACATATCGTAACATGTCAAAACTTCATCGTAAATGACTTATCATAACATATCATAACATGTCAAAATTTCATCGTAAATGACTTATCATAACATATCAAAACATATCATAACATGTCAAAACTTCATCGGAACACTTTATTGTCAAACATATCATAACATGTCAAAACTTCATCGGAACACTTTATTGTCAAACATAAACACAAACTTTATCGGAACACTTTATTGTCAAACATAAACACAAACTTTATCGGAACACTTTATTGTCAAACATATCATAACATGTCAAAACTTCATCGTAAATGACTTATCATAACATATCATAACATGTCAAAACTTCATCGTAAATGACTTATCATAACATATCAAAACATATCAAAACATGTCAAAACTTCATCGTAAATGACTTATCATAACATATCAAAACATGTCAAAACTTCATCGTAAATGACTTATCATAACATATCATAACATGTCAAAACTTCATCGTAAATGACTTATCATAACATATCAAAACATATCATAACATGTCAAAACTTCATCGGAACACTTTATTGTCAAACATAAACACAAACTTTATCGGAACACTTTATTGTCAACCATGTCAAAACATGTCAAAACTTCATTGTGGATGATTTATCAAAACATATCATAACTTCATCGTGGATGATTTATCAAAACATATCATAACTTCATCGTGGATGATTTATCAAAACATATCATAACTTCATCGTGGATCTCCTCGTTTGGCGGGAATGTTGATATTAAATTATAAGTTATCATGACTTGTCATGACTTATCAAAACTTGTCGAAACTTATCATAAAATGACTTATCAAAACTTCATCAAAACATATCAAAACATATCATAACATATCAAAACTTCATCGTGGATGATTTATCAAAACATGTCAAAACATGTCAAAACATATCATAACATATCATAACATATCATAACATATCATAACTTCATCGTGGATGATTTATCAAAACTTATCATAACTTCATCGTGGATGATTTATCAAAACATATCATAACTTCATCGTGGATCTCCTCGTTTGGCGGGAATGTCAATATTAAATTATAAGTTATTTTTTGTTATTTTAACAATGAGCTAATTTCAACATATGATCATTATTCACCCATAATTGACATGAAAAATAATAAATCACATATTTGGTGAGAATTAATCCTCCTCGTTTTGCGGGAATGTTGATACCTCATTTAACGGGAATGAATCCTCCTCTCCCTTTTTTGACGAAGTGAAGATTTGCACTTCGTCCTCAACTGAAAAAATATGATGCAAAAAACAATCATCCTCAACTGAAAAATGAAATTTCTTTTCTATTTATCTATATGGTTTGTTTGAACTGGTCCGGAATGGGGGTTCATGCAAAGTTATTGGTCTTTGAAGGGTGGTAGGTTTCAAAGGCACGAATAACAGCTGCATAACTAAGTCCTGGAATGGCGAGTTATGTAGAAAACTGGGTTTGCGACAGCGGTGATGAGGTCACTACTGTTACAAATCGCGAGGAGTAACGGATCCCAAATTAAAGGGAGTTCGTGAAAGTTTCATTAGTCGGGATTGGTGACTAATGGAAAAGAACCGGTGGAAAGGAGTACATCTTATCGACTAACCCACTCTGATCAAGTGGGAAAATTCGATAGGTGTGGTATAACACGCGGTGAGGTATATTTACCTATGTTTCCTATTTCATTTTTTTGTATTTGAAATGAATCCTCCAATGAATCCTCCTCTCCCTTTTTTTGACGAAGTGAAGATTTGCACTTCGTCCTCAACTGAAAAAATATGATGCAAAAACAATCATCCTCAACTGAAAAATGAAATTTCTTTTCTATTTATCTATGGAAATAATTCTCTACTGGAATTCAAGTAACGCTCGCGGTCACTATTACGTCAGTGATGACGGTGAATGGTTCACATTCCCAATCTTTATCGGACAGTTAGCAATATACGATACAGAAACTGGAATAGGAAGACCATACAATAATTAGGTGTCAATTATTGTCAATAAAGATTTATGGGTGGCGGGGACCACCCCTTCCCATTTTCATTTTTTTGTATTTGGCGGGAATGTTGATATGATTTCATGTTATTCAATAATGAATTAATTTTTGAAGGTGTCACTATGCCACTATGTACTACCATGACAACTAACTTCTTTTTAAAAATGATAACAACATTACATTGCATATTTGACGAGAAATGAATCCTCCAATGAATCCTCCAATGAATCCTCCTCGTTTGGCGGGAATGTTTATTAAATCATAAGAAATACAGTTTTGACAACATGGTGAGGTCACTATGCCACCATGTGTCACTCGGTTATTTAACTTTTCTGAAAAATGAGACAATGTGACATTTTGACAACATAGTGGATTAATGTAAAAATAAATTCAAATCAAACACAAACTTTATCGGAACACTTTATTGTCAAACATAAACACAAACTTTATCGGAACACTTTATTGTCAAACATAAACACAAACTTTATCGGAACACTTTATTGTCAAACATATCATAACATGTCAAAACTTCATCGTAAATGACTTATCATAACATATCAAAACATGTCAAAACTTCATCGTAAATGACTTATCATAACATATCAAAACATATCAAAACATGTCAAAACTTCATCGTAAATGACTTATCATAACATATCATAACATGTCAAAACTTCATCGTAAATGACTTATCATAACATATCAAAACATATCAAAACATGTCAAAACTTCATCGTAAATGACTTATCATAACAAATCATAACATGTCAAAACTTCATCGTAAATGACTTATCATAACATATCAAAACATATCATAACATGTCAAAACTTCATCGTAAATGACTTATCATAACATATCATAACATGTGAAACTTCATCGTAAATAACTTATCATAACATATCATAACTTGTCAAAACTTCATCGTAAATGACTTATCATAACATATCAAAACATATCAAAACATGTCAAAACTTCATCGTAAATGACTTATCATAACATATCAAAACATATCGTAACATGTCAAAACTTCATCGTAAATGACTTAGCATAACATATCATAACATGTCAAAACTTCATCGTAAATGACTTATCATAACATATCAAAACATATCAAAACATGTCAAAACCACCCAAACCACCACCACTCCAAAACCAACAATAACTCCATCAACCACCCAAACCACCACCACTCCAAAACCAACAATAACTCCATCAACCACCCAAACCACCACCACTCCAAAACCAACAATAACTCCATCAACCACCCAAACCACCACCACTCCAAAACCAACAATAACTCCATCAACCACCCAAACCACCACCACTCCAAAACCAACAATAACTCCATCAACCACCCAAACCACCACCACTCCAAAACCAACAATAACTCCATCAACCACCCAAACCACCACCACTCCAAAACCAACAATAACTCCATCAACCACCCAAACCACCACCACTCCAAAACCAACAATAACTCCATCAACCACCCAAACCACCACCACTCCAAAACCAACAATAACTCCATCAACCACCCAAACCACCACCACTCCAAAACCAACAATAACTCCATCAACCACCCAAACCACCACCACTCCAAAACCAACAATAACTCCATCAACCACCCAAACCACCACCACTCCAAAACCAACAATAACTCCATCAACCACCCAAACCACCACCACTCCAAAACCAACAATAACTCCATCAACCACCCAAACCACCACCACTCCAAAACCAACAATAACTCCATCAACCACCCAAACCACCACCACTCCAAAACCAACAATAACTCCATCAACCACCCAAACCACCACCACTCCAAAACCAACAATAACTCCATCAACCACCCAAACCACCACCACTCCAAAACCAACAATAACTCCATCAACCACCCAAACCACCACCACTCCAAAACCAACAATAACTCCATCAACCACCCAAACCACCACCACTCCAAAACCAACAATAACTCCATCAACCACCCAAACCACCACCACTCCAAAACCAACAATAACTCCATCAACCACCCAAACCACCACCACTCCAAAACCAACAATAACTCCATCAACCACCCAAACCACCACCACTCCAAAACCAACAATAACTCCATCAACCACCCAAACCACCACCACTCCAAAACCAACAATAACTCCATCAACCACCCAAACCACCACCACTCCAAAACCAACAATAACTCCATCAACCACCCAAACCACCACCACTCCAAAACCAACAATAACTCCATCAACCACCCAAACCACCACCACTCCAAAACCAACAATAACTCCATCAACCACCCAAACCACCACCACTCCAAAACCAACAATAACTCCATCAACCACCCAAACCACCACCACTCCAAAACCAACAATAACTCCATCAACCACCCAAACCACCACCACTCCAAAACCAACAATAACTCCATCAACCACCCAAACCACCACCACTCCAAAACCAACAATAACTCCATCAACCACCCAAACCACCACCACTCCAAAACCAACAATAACTCCATCAACCACCCAAACCACCACCACTCCAAAACCAACAATAACTCCATCAACCACCCAAACCACCACCACTCCAAAACCAACAATAACTCCATCAACCACCCAAACCACCACCACTCCAAAACCAACAATAACTCCATCAACCACCCAAACCACCACCACTCCAAAACCAACAATAACTCCATCAACCACCCAAACCACCACCACTCCAAAACCAACAATAACTCCATCAACCACCCAAACCACCACCACTCCAAAACCAACAATAACTCCATCAACCACCCAAACCACCACCACTCCAAAACCAACAATAACTCCATCAACCACCCAAACCACCACCACTCCAAAACCAACAATAACTCCATCAACCACCCAAACCACCACCACTCCAAAACCAACAATAACTCCATCAACCACCCAAACCACCACCACTCCAAAACCAACAATAACTCCATCAACCACCCAAACCACCACCACTCCAAAACCAACAATAACTCCATCAACCACCCAAACCACCACCACTCCAAAACCAACAATAACTCCATCAACCACCCAAACCACCACCACTCCAAAACCAACAATAACTCCATCAACCACCCAAACCACCACCACTCCAAAACCAACAATAACTCCATCAACCACCCAAACCACCACCACTCCAAAACCAACAATAACTCCATCAACCACCCAAACCACCACCACTCCAAAACCAACAATAACTCCATCAACCACCCAAACCACCACCACTCCAAAACCAACAATAACTCCATCAACCACCCAAACCACCACCACTCCAAAACCAACAATAACTCCATCAACCACCCAAACCACCACCACTCCAAAACCAACAATAACTCCATCAACCACCCAAACCACCACCACTCCAAAACCAACAATAACTCCATCAACCACCCAAACCACCACCACTCCAAAACCAACAATAACTCCATCAACCACCCAAACCACCACCACTCCAAAACCAACAATAACTCCATCAACCACCCAAACCACCACCACTCCAAAACCAACAATAACTCCATCAACCACCCAAACCACCACCACTCCAAAACCAACAATAACTCCATCAACCACCCAAACCACCACCACTCCAAAACCAACAATAACTCCATCAACCACCCAAACCACCACCACTCCAAAACCAACAATAACTCCATCAACCACCCAAACCACCACCACTCCAAAACCAACAATAACTCCATCAACCACCCAAACCACCACCACTCCAAAACCAACAATAACTCCATCAACCACCCAAACCACCACCACTCCAAAACCAACAATAACTCCATCAACCACCCAAACCACCACCACTCCAAAACCAACAATAACTCCATCAACCACCCAAACCACCACCACTCCAAAACCAACAATAACTCCATCAACCACCCAAACCACCACCACTCCAAAACCAACAATAACTCCATCAACCACCCAAACCACCACCACTCCAAAACCAACAATAACTCCATCAACCACCCAAACCACCACCACTCCAAAACCAACAATAACTCCATCAACCACCCAAACCACCACCACTCCAAAACCAACAATAACTCCATCAACCACCCAAACCACCACCACTCCAAAACCAACAATAACTCCATCAACCACCCAAACCACCACCACTCCAAAACCAACAATAACTCCATCAACCACCCAAACCACCACCACTCCAAAACCAACAATAACTCCATCAACCACCCAAACCACCACCACTCCAAAACCAACAATAACTCCATCAACCACCCAAACCACCACCACTCCAAAACCAACAATAACTCCATCAACCACCCAAACCACCACCACTCCAAAACCAACAATAACTCCATCAACCACCCAAACCACCACCACTCCAAAACCAACAATAACTCCATCAACCACCCAAACCACCACCACTCCAAAACCAACAATAACTCCATCAACCACCCAAACCACCACCACTCCAAAACCAACAATAACTCCATCAACCACCCAAACCACCACCACTCCAAAACCAACAATAACTCCATCAACCACCCAAACCACCACCACTCCAAAACCAACAATAACTCCATCAACCACCCAAACCACCACCACTCCAAAACCAACAATAACTCCATCAACCACCCAAACCACCACCACTCCAAAACCAACAATAACTCCATCAACCACCCAAACCACCACCACTCCAAAACCAACAATAACTCCATCAACCACCCAAACCACCACCACTCCAAAACCAACAATAACTCCATCAACCACCCAAACCACCACCACTCCAAAACCAACAATAACTCCATCAACCACCCAAACCACCACCACTCCAAAACCAACAATAACTCCATCAACCACCCAAACCACCACCACTCCAAAACCAACAATAACTCCATCAACCACCCAAACCACCACCACTCCAAAACCAACAATAACTCCATCAACCACCCAAACCACCACCACTCCAAAACCAACAATAACTCCATCAACCACCCAAACCACCACCACTCCAAAACCAACAATAACTCCATCAACCACCCAAACCACCACCACTCCAAAACCAACAATAACTCCATCAACCACCCAAACCACCACCACTCCAAAACCAACAATAACTCCATCAACCACCCAAACCACCACCACTCCAAAACCAACAATAACTCCATCAACCACCCAAACCACCACCACTCCAAAACCAACAATAACTCCATCAACCACCCAAACCACACCACTCCAAAACCAACAATAACTCCATCAACCACCCAAACCACCACCACTCCAAAACCAACAATAACTCCATCAACCACCCAAACCACCACCACTCCAAAACCAACAATAACTCCATCAACCACCCAAACCACCACCACTCCAAAACCAACAATAACTCCATCAACCACCCAACCACCACCACTCCAAAACCAACAATAACTCCATCAACCACCCAAACCACCACCACTCCAAAACCAACAATAACTCCATCAACCACCCAAACCACCACCACTCCAAAACCAACAATAACTCCATCAACCACCCAAACCACCACCACTCCAAAACCAACAATAACTCCATCAACCACCCAAACCACCACCACTCCAAAACCAACAATAACTCCATCAACCACCCAAACCACCACCACTCCAAAACCAACAATAACTCCATCAACCACCCAAACCACCACCACTCCAAAACCAACAATAACTCCATCAACCACCCAAACCACCACCACTCCAAAACCAACAATAACTCCATCAACCACCCAAACCACCACCACTCCAAAACCAACAATAACTCCATCAACCACCCCAAACCACCACCACTCCAAAACCAACAATAACTCCATCAACCACCCAAACCACCACCACTCCAAAACCAACAATAACTCCATCAACCACCCAAACCACCACCACTCCAAAACCAACAATAACTCCATCAACCACCCAAACCACCACCACTCCAAAACCAACAATAACTCCATCAACCACCCAAACCACCACCACTCCAAAACCAACAATAACTCCATCAACCACCCAAACCACCACCACTCCAAAACCAACAATAACTCCATCAACCACCCAAACCACCACCACTCCAAAACCAACAATAACTCCATCAACCACCAAACCACCACTCAAAAACCACAATCAAATCCATCAACCACCCAAACCACCACCACTCCAAAACCAACAATAACTCCATCAACCACCCAAACCACCACCACTCCAAAACCAACAATAACTCCATCAACCACCCAAACCACCACCACTCCAAAACCAACAATAACTCCATCAACCACCCAAACCACCACCACTCCAAAACCAACAATAACTCCATCAACCACCCAAACCACCACCACTCCAAAACCAACAATAACTCCATCAACCACCCAAACCACCACCACTCCAAAACCAACAATAACTCCATCAACCACCCAAACCACCACCACTCCAAAACCAACAATAACTCCATCAACCACCCAAACCACCACCACTCCAAAACCAACAATAACTCCATCAACCACCCAAACCACCACCACTCCAAAACCAACAATAACTCCATCAACCACCCAAACCACCACCACTCCAAAACCAACAATAACTCCATCAACCACCCAAACCACCACCACTCCAAAACCAACAATAACTCCATCAACCACCCAAACCACCACCACTCCAAAACCAACAATAACTCCATCAACCACCCAAACCACCACCACTCCAAAACCAACAATAACTCCATCAACCACCCAAACCACCACCACTCCAAAACCAACAATAACTCCATCAACCACCCAAACCACCACCACTCCAAAACCAACAATAACTCCATCAACCACCCAAACCACCACCACTCCAAAACCAACAATAACTCCATCAACCACCCAAACCACCACCACTCCAAAACCAACAATAACTCCATCAACCACCCAAACCACCACCACTCCAAAACCAACAATAACTCCATCAACCACCCAAACCACCACCACTCCAAAACCAACAATAACTCCATCAACCACCCAAACCACCACCACTCCAAAACCAACAATAACTCCATCAACCACCCAAACCACCACCACTCCAAAACCAACAATAACTCCATCAACCACCCAAAACCACCACTCCAAAACCAACAATAACTCCATCAACCACCCAAACCACCACCACTCCAAAACCAACAATAACTCCATCAACCACCCAAACCACCACCACTCCAAAACCAACAATAACTCCATCAACCACCCAAACCACCACCACTCCAAAACCAACAATAACTCCATCAACCACCCAAACCACCACCACTCCAAAACCAACAATAACTCCATCAACCACCCAAACCACCACCACTCCAAAACCAACAATAACTCCATCAACCACCCAAACCACCACCACTCCAAAACCAACAATAACTCCATCAACCACCCAAACCACCACCACTCCAAAACCAACAATAACTCCATCAACCACCCAAACCACCACCACTCCAAAACCAACAATAACTCCATCAACCACCCAAACCACCACCACTCCAAAACCAACAATAACTCCATCAACCACCCAAACCACCACCACTCCAAAACCAACAATAACTCCATCAACCACCCAAACCACCACCACTCCAAAACCAACAATAACTCCATCAACCACCCAAACCACCACCACTCCAAAACCAACAATAACTCCATCAACCACCCAAACCACCACCACTCCAAAACCAACAATAACTCCATCAACCACCCAAACCACCACTCCAAAACCAACAATAACTCCATCAACCACCCAAACCACCACCACTCCAAAACCAACAATAACTCCATCAACCACCCAAACCACCACCACTCCAAAACCAACAATAACTCCATCAACCACCCAAACCACCACCACTCCAAAACCAACAATAACTCCATCAACCACCCAAACCACCACCACTCCAAAACCAACAATAACTCCATCAACCACCCAAACCACCACCACTCCAAAACCAACAATAACTCCATCAACCACCCAAACCACCACCACTCCAAAACCAACAATAACTCCATCAACCACCCAAACCACCACCACTCCAAAACCAACAATAACTCCATCAACCACCCAAACCACCACCACTCCAAAACCAACAATAACTCCATCAACCACCCAAACCACCACCACTCCAAAACCAACAATAACTCCATCAACCACCCAAACCACCACCACTCCAAAACCAACAATAACTCCATCAACCACCCAAACCACCACCACTCCAAAACCAACAATAACTCCATCAACCACCCAAACCACCACCACTCCAAAACCAACAATAACTCCATCAACCACCCAAACCACCACCACTCCAAAACCAACAATAACTCCATCAACCACCCAAACCACCACCACTCCAAAACCAACAATAACTCCATCAACCACCCAAACCACCACCACTCCAAAACCAACAATAACTCCATCAACCACCCAAACCACCACCACTCCAAAACCAACAATAACTCCATCAACCACCCAAACCACCACCACTCCAAAACCAACAATAACTCCATCAACCACCCAAACCACCACCACTCCAAAACCAACAATAACTCCATCAACCACCCAAACCACCACCACTCCAAAACCAACAATAACTCCATCAACCACCCAAACCACCACCACTCCAAAACCAACAATAACTCCATCAACCACCCAAACCACCACCCCAACCCAAAAACCCAAAACCCATCAACCACCCAAACCACCACCACTCCAAAACCAACAATAACTCCATCAACCACCCAAACCACCACCACTCCAAAACCAACAATAACTCCATCAACCACCCAAACCACCACCACTCCAAAACCAACAATAACTCCATCAACCACCCAAACCACCACCACTCCAAAACCAACAATAACTCCATCAACCACCCAAACCACCACCACTCCAAAACCAACAATAACTCCATCAACCACCCAAACCACCACCACTCCAAAACCAACAATAACTCCATCAACCACCCAAACCACCACCACTCCAAACCACCA